TAATCTTGGGGCTGGGGCTGGGGCTGGGGCTCAGTGGTAGCACACTTGCCTGATATGTGTGAGGCACTGGGTTCGATTCTCAGCACCACGTTATAAATAAATAAAAACATCATAAATAGATAAAAAAATAAAGATCTATCAACAACTAAAAAATATTTTAAAAAAAGATGTTAATAGTGATATAATCTTAAATATTGGGTGTGTCCTTTGATTAAATTGATCTTGCAGTCAAATGCTTATATTTCTTTTGAATTTTAACTTGAGAGTTTGAAATCATTTAGTAAAAAATAAGGTGAAATATAATTGCGATCACGTTGAAATGCTTGGTTTTGACCCAAGAGTCAGAGGAAAAAATCTTCCTGCAGGTTCTTTTAGAGAGCTCTCTAACTTTGGGAGTCAGCCTTGACGTCTTTCCCTCAGACCCCATGTCCAATCTATCAGCAAAGAGTGTCCGTCCAGGGCCTTGAGGCTGCCTTCCTCTCCCACTTGACTCCATCACTAGGCTCCTAGCAATCTCCCTCCTTCCATTCTTCCCCTGCTAAGATTCTGTTGTGTGCATAGCAGCCAGAGTGATATTTTAAAACTTGAATTAGATCATGTCCTGGCCTAAGCAAAACCCTCCAAGATGCCCCTTCACCTTGGGAACAAAAACACAAAGTCGTGACCCCCAGACCCAAAGGCCTACACCATCTAGCCTTCAAACACCTCCCAAATCTCATTTTCTATGAATCTCTTCTGAGCTGTTGTAGCCCTGGATTCCTTGGATAAGCTCAGCACATTCTACTCTCAAGGCCTTTGCACTTGCTATTGCCTCTGCCTGGAATAATCTCCCCCCAGATGTTTGCATGGCTCCCTTCTTCCTCTTCCCTCTTCCCTGCCCTTCCTCTTCCCTTTTTCCCTCTGCTCCAAGGCTGCCTCCTCAGAGAAGTCTTCAGTGATCACTCCATCTAAGGCAGTACCACTGCTACTCTCCGTCCCATGCCTACAGTGTTTCCTTCCTAACAGTTTTCACAGCTGTACACATTACATATTTATTTTCTTATCAGCTTATTATCTGTCTCTGTGATGAGAATTTAAGCTTAGGGAGGGCAGGGATCCTGGGTATTTTGTTCACCACTGTTTCCCATGCTTCAAATAGTACCTGGGATGTAGTCAGTGTTCAGTGAATATTTCTTAAGTGAATAAAGGAGCAAATAATCTCTAGAGAATTGGGAATAATATTATGGTATTATAATATAGTGTTTGCCAATAGATTTGAAAAAGTTTGAAGTTTCTGGTTTTCTTCACATTATTGATATAAGGCATATTGTAGTCTGTTTTCTGCTGCTATAACAGAATATTACAGTCAGGGTAAATTATAGGGAAAAGAAATTTTCTGAGAGGCTGGGAACTATCAAATAGATAGACTATATTTGGCGAAGGCCTCTTTGCCACACTGCAGTATGGTAGAAGGTATCACATGGAAAGAGACAGAGAGAGACAGACAGACAGAAAGACAGACACATAAAGGGAAAATAAAAGGAGGCTGAACCTCCTCCCTTGTATAATTCTACATGCTTCTTCAATAACAGCCGTAATATATAGGGTGGGACCCCCATGACCTAAGCAACTCTTCAAGGTTGATCTTAAGATCACACAATTTTAATGGCAATTAAAATTCAACTGGGTTTTGGAGGGGACATTCAAACTATAGCAGTCTCATATATTAGTTTATGCTTTAGGTTTTCTTAAAACCAGAGTAGCTTAATTTAACCAACTATCACTATTCCCAGAAATGTTCTCTGGACATTCCTTGTTTACTAGGATAATACTGAATCCTTATTTATACATATATTTTTATATAATGATCTTAAGATACAAATTGCATCATTAAAGGAAATATTTTTGAAAAGAATTTTTTTAAAAAATATGTATTGTTTTTTAGATTTCGGTGGACACAACATCTTTGTATGTGGTGCCGAGGATCGAACCGGGGCCGCACGTATGCCAGGCGAGCGCGATACCGCTTGAGCCACATCCCCAGCCCTGAAAAGAATATCTTTAAAAAGCATATTTTAAGGAGGAAAAAAAATCACCCCCACTACTATCACATATCCACATGTGGATATGATATTTATATGTAAAAAATAATTAGGGTATACATAGCAGTTTATTTTTTTTAAATTGACTAATTAATTTTACAGAAGAATGCATTTTGACATACATTACACAAATTGAGCACAACTTCTGATTCCTCTGGCTGTACATGGAGCAGTTTCTTTATATTATAAATATTTTTAACATTGTCTCACATATTTCAGGTTAACATTTCTAATGTCTATAGAACATTTCACTAATGTGAAGGTGACATGATTTACTTAAACAATTCCCAATTTTTGGACATTTGGGCTGTTTCCAACAGTTTTTCCTTATAGAAATAATGATTTGGGGGCTGGGGTTGTAGCTCAGTGGTAGAGTACTCACCTAGTATGCATGAGGCACTGGGTTCAATCCTCAGAATCACATAAATGTAAATAAAGATATTGTGTCCACGTAAACCTAAAAAATAAACATTAAAAAAAAGAAATAATGATTTGAGGGGCTGGGGTTGTGGCTCAGTGGTAGAGCGCTCGCCTAGCACATGCGAGACGCTGTTTGATGACTTATGTTTGATGACTTTCTGTTTCATTGATCCTCAGCACCACATAAAAATAAATAAAATAAAGGCATTGTGTCCAACTAAAACTAAAAAAAAATTAAAAAAAAAGAAATAATGATTTCATAGTGAACATGGGTATGTTTACCTTTCCCCTCCCCCAAGTATTTTGAACCATTGTCTAATGATAACTTTCTCACAGTGGAGTGAGTGGTTCATAAGACACGAGCATTACATTACTCATACCTACTGGATACATATTGCTTTCCAAAAGGATTGAACCAATGGAACAACATCAGCATTGGGCAGTATTATTAAAAAATAATTTATTTCATAGGCTTAAAACAAAGCCAATTTAATAGATCTAAGAAACAATAAGATTGTAGTAAAATTGAATTTCTTTAATTGCTAGTAATATCAAACTTTCCCCCATAGATTTGTTAATGACTTATGTTTGATGACTTTCTGTTTCATTGGAATGAACTCTTTCATAGTAAATGTAAATATTTTCTCAATCTGTTGTTCTTTTGTTTTTTCATAGTTTAAAAAATGGTTTCATCTTGGGGCTGAAGTTGTGGCTCAGTGGTAGAGCTCTTGCCTAGCAGGCATGAGGCACTGGGTTTGATCCTCAGCACCACATAAAAATTAATACAATTAAGGTATTGTGCCCATCTACAACTAAAAAAAAAATTTAAAAATGGTTTCATCTTCATGGCTGGATTTGTCCATTTTTCCTCTGTTCACTTTTTTTACTTTAGAAGTTCAATGCATATAAAAGGTGACATATTACCTGCCCCATCAAATAGACAACAATAATTGTTATATTAGTTTGAAGTCACTTTAGGGCTGGGGTTGTAGATCAGTGGTAGAGCACTTGACTAACACGTGTGAAGCACTGGGTTCAATCCTCAGCACCACACCATATAAAAGTAAATAAATAAAATAAAGGTAATGTATCCATCTACAACTAAAAAAATTTTTTAAAAAGTCATTTTAGAGGGGATTATTATACTTGCCAGATCTGGGCTTTTTCTAATTTCATAATGTGGGGAATTCTAGGAAGGGAGCAATGAAATGTCTACATACCTAGAATGTGTGGGAAAATATGAGTGTGTAATGGTGGAAGGGGAAGAGGAAGAAGAGAGGAGCAGTTTCTTCATGCCCTAACATACAGCATGACAGACAGCATGTGCCTCAGAGCATGAGACTACCCTTAGCACATAGGCAGAGCTGGTTTCCTTAGGCAATCCTTCAGATGGAAAATCCCGTCTGATGCCTATCCGCTCTGCCAGCAATCTTACAAAGATGATTCCAGGGCACTGCAGGACTCTCCAATCTCTTCTATCAAAGAGATGTTTGGCTCACTTTTTAGTATTAGTCATGCTAGGCTATGAACTACCTTGGGGGCATTTATAACCCTAGATTCTGGAACTTACAAAATGTAGGGCAAATATTTGCTAGATGAACCTTTCAAAAAACCATTTTAACGATTTTCTAATCCTTTTGGTGCTTGTTTGGAAATGCAGGGAGTGGAAAGAAGTGGAATATTTGCATTCCAATCCAGGTCCTACAGAGTTGGGTTATTTTAGATAGCTTACATTTTTCTGGGCCTCAATTTTCTCATTTGTTGAAATAAGAGAGGGCATAAGCTGGAAGTAATTTTCAATAAGGATGTTTTATAATCATAGTTCATAAATTAACTGAATACAATATACAGCTCATTGGGTTATACTATTTTTTTGAAAAACTATGTCTGGTCTCAAAAGGGAATGAATTGCAATAGAAATAGTCATCAGCCTTTTCGTAGGCTCAAAAACACTGGTTTAATTTAGGTTTACCATGAGTCCTCATAATTCTCAATATGATAGTGTATAAATATAAATACATATTTCGATGCGAGGCAATTTAAAGAGAAAGAAAAAACTGAATTTGTTCCCTCTAGAGCTGTGCTTCTGTGCTGACTTGCTGTGCAGTCACATGTGGCTGCTGAATAATTGCAATGTGGTTGGTCTGCATTAAGGTGGAAGGACTTTGAATATTTGCTATGAAAAAAAATTCATTAATGATTTATACTGTTTTGAAATAATATTTTGAATATATTAAATATATCTTAAAATTATTTCCCCCCATTTCTTTTTATTTTTTCACATGTGGCTGCAAAAAAACATTAAAACCACAAGAATTCAAAATATGGCTAAGACTATATTTCTATTGTATGATGCTACTTGAGAGAGGTAGAGAACAATGACAGAGCAAAATGTATAGAGCGGAGTAGCTATTTGCATCATTTAAATGAAAGTTTCTTTGCTTTTTTAAAACTTAGCCTCTGCTAATTTTAAAAATGTTATGTTTTATTCTCTCCTAGGAAAATGGCTTTGTAAAGAAGTTTGAACCTAAATCTGGCTGGTTGACTTTTCTGGGAGTTACAGGGCAGATCTGCGAGATGCTGTCTCTCCTGAAGCAATACTATTGACCAAAAAGACACTGGCTGTTTCGAGAACTGTTGCCAACATGTGTGACTTCTGCTTTTAAACAAACAGCTTTGATGATGTAACTTGACTTTACAGAGTTAAGGACACTTGGTCCTCATTTTAATGAATAAATTGTATGTATTTGTTCTCTCTATGTGATGTATGTCTTAATCTTTTAAGCTGTCTGGAACCTGAGCAAAAGGGCTCAGCCCAATACAGGAGTCAGGTATTGAAGTAAAGGATGATGACCTAGAAGGAGGTGTCTTTTCTGCCCCATGGCAGACTCTTTCTTAAGGCTATGCTCATCATCCTAATTTGTTCTCTGGGTCTCTAGCCTGAAGAGCACAGGGGCCCACCTCCCTCCTGGTTTCATGATTTCTGTGTCCCCAGGTCCCCACTGCTTCAAGTTCCCACTGATGCTCTCACTTAGTCTTCACCCTCTGGCCTGTCATTTGGGCTCGGTGGGCATAGCATACAGATATGCAGTTTTGAGGCTCAGAAAATGACACCCCAAAGTGAAGTCCTCAGAAGCAAAGTTTCTGTCTGACACCCTCTTTCCCTCCCATCTTTCACCCTGCTTTCTTTTCTTAAACCAGATACAGAAACTAGAATTCATCTTCCTCAAGACAGGTCATAGAAATCAAGACCCCTCCCCCAAAAGTCAGCCATGAAACCCAAAAATAGTACTCCAGCTTTCCCCCACATTTTGGTGTAAGAACAAATGAGGGAAATGTAGAAGGGCATAGGAAGCCAGGGTGAGATGGCGAGTCAGGGGCAGGGCCAGAGGAAGAGAGCATGGTCTTCTCATGAGGTTAACTTCCTGCTTGACAAAAGTACAGGTCAAGTGGATACAAGCTGGGAAACCAATCAGACAGACACTTTCATACTTGTGCTCCTAAGCCGGGGACCCAATAGAAAAACAAAAAAGATGTGTGGAAAGAGGGGCCCCAGTCAATAATAGGACAGGGGAGGAGATAAAGAAAGGAGGAAATTCCAGAGATCATAAAAAGGACAGGCCAACCCCCCCCCACCACCACCACCAGATTCCTGGCTCCAGGGCCCCTTCTCTTCAGAGAAGTGTATCTCTTTCGATTTTGCAATAAACCTGCTGCATGCTTGCTATCTCTGTGTCCTGTTCTTCTGTTCTTAGTTGAACAGAGACAATGAACCCAGCCCTCCTAGACAGTTACATAAATTCTCTGACTGATCTTGTCTGATTGTAAGTCATAAGACTTATATAAGCCAGATAGGCTCCTGCCATAACTGGAAGGAAGGATACTACTCAGGCCAAGAAGAACCTGAATAGACAGGCTTTACTGCCCACCCAAGAGACCATTAATATTAGATCATACTCTTGTTTCATCAGATCTGTGTATGACTGTACCCACTTTATTGAACCTAAGCATAAAAATGGACAGTTCACCTTGAGTCTTTGGATCTTCAACCTGAAGTTTCCCATGTCGTGTACAACTATGATACATTTGTTATCTTTTTCTCTTGTTAACCTGTCTCTTGTTGGGTGTTGGCCATGATCCTTCCCAACAGGAAGCAAAAGATCCCCCTCTCCTTTGCCCCTCTAGTAGGAAACTCTGGATGGTTTGAACAAAGACAATGAGGTAAATGATTCAGTACTGGGCCATTGTTAAACTTTTTTTTTTCTTGTAAAAATTCACAAATTAGAAAACTTCATCTTTTGTTAGAACCTGTGTTCATTTTTTTTTTCCCAAGAAAACCAGTGGGGCTAGAGTTATAGTTATAGCTCAGTGATAGAGCATTTGATTAGCACACATGAGGGCTATCCTCAGTACCACATAAAAAATAAATGAATAAATAAAATAAAGTTAGGGAAAAAAAAAGAATACCAGTGATTGTTTGTGTTCCAACTTTTAGGCCAGCAAAACCAATTGCAATATGGCAACCCTATATCTTGTCCTCGACCCACCCCACCCCCAATCTCTACCCGTTGGGGCTTGCATTACCTTTCCTAGGAAACTGTCGGTAGATCTAATAAAGAAACTAGATCCGCTCTCTCCCAAGCTTCATGGGGAATTTCAGTTAATGCTTTACTCACAAGGTGTCTTTCCTAACGGTGAAGAGGTGGAGACAGTGAGGTGAGGACCCGAAGGATGAGGTCACTGGGGGCAGGTCAGTAGGGAAGTCTTTGTGGCCAAGGTACCTTTGGCTTACTTATGAAATCTGAAACACAGCTACTTATGCCATCTGGGGCTCGTGTCTACTGAGGGCAGGATAAGATTCCACATTTTCTTTTATTTCTTCCTGTTAAGGGTCTCACCCACTCCTGGAACTGCTTTTGTTTTAATTCATTTTTGTATTAATGAGAGCTACGTGGTGGGAATGAACAGTCAGGAGTGGACATAACAGGAAGTATGTATGCTACTACCTGGAATAGGTTACACAAGAAGCCCTAAAATCTGACTTTTACACAACAATTACCTCTTTAGCAATGTGACATTGGGAAATCAGTGACCCTTTCTGATTTGGTCTATGGCTTGATCTTGTAAACTACACCTCACTGTGCATTTGTTTATTAAATTAACTTTTTTAAAAAAATGGTTTTATGAACCTCAACTCTTACTGCATACACAAAAATTAAATTGAAACAGATCATAGACCTTTATGTTTGTTAAAACTATACTTTTAGAAGCAAATATAGGAGAAAATCTTCCCAATCTTGGAGTAGGCAGAGATTGTTTAGAACACAGAGAACCTCTACCAGATTCTAAATGGGTAATTTAGAAGTCACTGAAATTTAAATATTCTACTTTTAGCCCAGTGAGGGGGCCCACGCCTATAGTCTGAGCATTGGGGATGCTGAGGTGTAAGGATCTCTCAAGCTCACAGTTCCAGGCCAATCTGGGCAACATAGTGGGAATCTGTTTCAAAACAAACAAACAAAAACAGTACTGAAACAACAACAACAACAGGCAAAACCAAAAATTTTACTCTTAAAATGACACCATTAAGAACTGAAATGGGCCCAAGTATGGCGGCACATGCCTGTGTTCCCAGACACTTGAGAGGGTGAGGCAAGAGGATGGTCAGACTGAGCAACTAAGTCTGTCTCAAAATAAAAAAATAAAAAGAACTGGTGATGCAGCGCAGTGGTAAAGTGCCCCTAAATTCAATCCCATCTACTAAATGGTGGGGGAGGGGAAAGAACTCAAATGGGGCACTTTTATTTCAATAAAACTATAAAAAATCCCAAACAAAAAATAAAACCTCTCAAAAGGCAAGCCAAAGAATAGGATAAAATATATATCACATTAATCTCTAAGGACTTGTAACCAGAATATCTACAATTATCTTATAACTGAATAGCAAGAAGACCATCAACCTAATTTTAAAAATGAGCAAAAGATTTGGACACTTTACTAAAGCAGATATACAGATGAATAATGAAGAGAGAAAAGATGCTTAATGCCATTAGTCATCAAGGGAAGCAAAACTAAAACCACAATGAAAGTTGGGATGAGTGGCTTGATCCTGTGGTCCCAGTTGAGCCCAGGAATTAGAGACCAGCCCTGACAATGTGGTGAGACTCTATCTCAAAAAACAAAACCAAACCAAAGTACCACAACTTGAGACCACTATATACCCTCTAGTACAGCTAAAATGAAACTATTCAGTTTTGGAAAAATGCGGAGCAAATGAAACTTTTACAGACCATGGTGACAATGTCTACTTTGGAAACAGGTTGGAAATCTTGTATAAAGTTAAACATAAGGGGCTGGGTTTGTGGCTCAGTGGTAGAGCGCTTGCCTAGCTTGTGGGAGGCACTGGGTTCAATTCTTAGCACTGGATATAAATAAATAAAACTCCATTGACAACTAAAAAGTATTGTTTAAAAAAGTTAAATATAAACTTACGCTAGGATCCAGGATTTCTACTTCTATACCAGTCATAGCAGCTTTATTCCAAACAGGGAATAACCTAAATGTTTATCAATAGGTGAGTAGATAAAGCAATTTCAGAATCTCCATAAAATAGATTATTTAAGCAATAAAAAGGAAAATTACTGATACATGCAAAGGAATTATAAATCTCAAATACATGGCGAGCAAAAGGAGCCAGGTGCCAAAGAGTACTTAGCATATTAGTTCATTCACATGAAGCTAGAGCAAATCTAATACAGTGTTGCAGAAAGTAGATCAGTTGTTGGTTGGGCTGGGTCGGGAGTTAACTGGGAGAGGACTTTTCAGGGTGATAAAATGTCTACATCTGGTGGTAGTTCCATGGGTGTGATTTGTCAAAATTCAGAGAGATGTACACTTAAAACTGCATTTTATTGTAGATAAAAAAGTGTCTTCATGAAGTTGATTTAGAAAAGAATCTTTGTTTTTGTGGAAAATCATCAACCCTCATCGTCAGCAATGTAAACAATACGGAAAAGTACAAGAGAAAGAAAAACCACTAGAATATTAAGGTGGAATGTTATTAATGGCCAGAGTAAAATCATGAAACATTATTATTTTTGTTTTATCATCCAAAAGGACCGTCACCTTGTCATGGTGAATTAAATCCCTGCTGACATTCCAGTAGACCCTCCTCTCCCTATGGTTTGCTCCCTACTTTACTTGTCCCTTTTCCTTTCAATTCTGTCCTTCTTGGTGGTCTGTCTCTTCTGTAGCTCTCCTGGGCTGCTTTCAACCTTCGCCACAGACTTTGGCACCTTATTGCCTCTGCCTGGACTGCTTTCCTGCCTCCTCACCTGGTTAATGTCTACTTGTCCTTCAGCTCTCAGTCCACAGATTGCTTCATCAGGAATGCTTTCCCTGATGAGTTTCAATTCTCCAGTGACAATCTCTCAAAACATCAGCTACAAAACAAGCCCACTGTTACAGTTGTATGATTTCAACTCAGTTTAGCTGTTTCTCCAACAGCTAGTTCCACATGGGCAGGAACCATGGCTATTTTGACTAACCATTTTATCTCAGAGCCTAGTTCAGAGCCTGGCAAGAGTTCAATAAATACATGCTTAAAAATATTTGAGAATAAAAATTAACTTGTTTGGGAAGAGGTAACTGTTAAACTATGACGCAAAGAAAAGACCACCGACTCCAATTTAAATCAAATTAAAGCAAGCGTATTATTCTGACCGGCCGGGACTGTCCCTCTCCTGAAATCTGTGGGAAT